CCCATGGCACAAGCCGGCGGGGGTGCAGCGGCATGCTGCTGTTGGCCACCGTGAGCTGGGGCTGGGTCGCAGCGCACCGGCCAGAGGGGACCGAGATGTTGACCTACCACCTACTCCAGGAACGAGCATCTCCCCCATATTCAGTACCTGCAGGTCTTGTGTAAGAGATAAATACTTAATAAACAGTCCCCCAGGCTAAGAGGGGGAAGGAGGTGTATCGGTATCTCTCTCAGACAGTGTTGTGGAGAAAGTTGCAGAGAGGTTACTGCTATCGTGTCTTCAAAGCAAACCCTTGTGGGGCATTAAGGGAAGATGGGGCATTGCAGAGAGTAACGGCTGCGCAGCATGTGAAGGTGAGCTGGGATTATCGTAAAGGCATTTGAAAAAAGTAGCAGTGCTCTGCTAAAACATGGCTGCTGTGCACTCGGGTGCTCCCTGGGTTTTGGGGGACTGTGCTGAGTAATAACATGCATGGTTTTATGAATGCAGTGGTTTTATCCCAGTGCTTGTGAGGGAGATGAGACAGCAGGGAACCGAGCCTCCAATTTTAAACTGGTGTCCCTTGCAGCCAGCCATTCGCCTGACCCGTGTGCTCAGCTGGACTCCTGCCTTCACTGCTCTGGGCCGCCGCGAGAGCTCGGCATCTTTGGCAGGTCTGTGGCATGAAGCATTGGGGTGCTATGAAGCTTGTGGGAAAGCCACATGAATATGAGGAGTCGTGGGCATCAGGGGATATTCTTCTGTGGGTAACAGGGAGCCCTGGCAGCGCTCCAGGACAGTCCTGCGTTCTGACAGCAGGAACAGCATACAAGTCAGCCTGCTACCGTAGTAGCGAGGCAATGGTATGGGTAGGGGCCACATTTGGACTGCGTCATCGCCTGGGTTTTTCTGTGGGGAGGAAATGTGGGAAGTGGGAAATGGTTTTTCTCTCTGGCAATGCAGGTTATTTCCAAATCAGCTGGACCTTTCTACATGGGGGATCTGATCTTGCTAGTATGTGCCTCATTTTCAAAGGCAAGCCTGTCTTCGAGCATCACCTTTTTAGCCGCAAAACACCGTGAATCTGTACACCAGTGCAGCCAGCAATGCAGACCTGTGTTCCCTGGGCTCCTTGCTGGCCCCAGCTGGCCTGGGACACAGGTGGGCGCAGCACCAGCAGCAGGAGGAGAGCTGCAAAGCTGAAGACCACCTCGTGACGTTGCCGCGGTCCCCGGTGGAGGCCTGCGTGCCAGCCCTGGCCTCTGAGACCCAGGCTGGCTGGTCCCCAAAGCGCAACTCTCCCGCGGCCGAGTCAACACCGGGGCGGGAGGGGTAAGCTGGTGCACTGAGTCTGGTTATGTTGCCCATGGCTCGCAGCAGAGCTGGGCACCTGCACCTGGGGCACGGGTGGTTTTGAGAGTTAATCCTCTGTACCCTGCTGCGCCCGTACACCTCGATGGTGCAGCCAGGCTCTTGGGTGTATCGAGGTACCACAGGCACAACTGGGCGTTTCCTCAGTGGATGCGTTCCATACGTGGTGGTGGGTTGAAAGGGCGTGTCGAAAACTAGTGTGTTCCCAGAAGAGGTAGAGAGGAAGAAAAGAGACAAGTTCAAGAGGTGCGTTTGCAGCTGCAGAGACCAGGTTTTTCCTTTTGCATCCAGAAGAGCAAAAGGCAACAGGATGCTGCTGGGCAACACATCCAGAGAGCTGGCCCACAAGTGTCCTAAGGCCTTCGTGAGGACAGCCGGGCAGCAGCCTGTCAGCAGGACCCTGCAGAGGTAGGTCTACCAAACGGGGGCTAGGTTTTGTCTGTCTGAACCTTGTTTTTTGTTGGTGGAGTTGCCTGTATCCAGGCAAAAGATAATCGGTGTGGATTTGTGCGTGGCGCCAGCAAAATAAAAACGCAATCTGCTCAAACTGGGGCTGGGGGAGTGCCTGTGTGTTTGGGACTCGGGAGCAGCAAAGCTCCCTTGGCAGCGTGGGAGGTTTTGAGCCCTGCCTCTGGGTATTTGCCTCGCAGGTGCCCGTGGAGTTGGGGCTGTGGCTTGGCCAGCTTTGTGCAGCACAGGGAGGCTGGGAAGGTTTCTGGGGCAGTGACCTTTCCCAGCGTTGCACTTAATACAAGGGAGAGCCGTGTTTATTGAGCACAGTTCTGAAGGCAGTGGATGATACTGTAAAATCAACTTTGTGACTCTCACAAGCTGCCTCTCACTAGAGAGCTACCCCCTTCCCCTTTGCTGCAAAGAACAAAGTTGTTGCTTTTCCCTAAAACAACAACAACAAAAAAAAGAGGCTCCTCTCCTCTGGTGCGCCCAGGGCTGCGACAAGCTCAGCAGCTAGCTCAGTCACCGTAGAGCTCTTCCAGCAGGGCTGGCATGAGCTGAGGACATGCCTGGTGTGGGGATATCGCAGGACCTGCTCTCGTCCTGTCGCTTTTGGGGAGGAGAAAACGGAGAAGGAAAGCCCTGACCTTCTCACAAAGCGACTCGCAACCGTGGCTGCAGCACATCTGTTTAAGAACTGCTCCAGCAGCACCTAAATCTCTCTCCTTACGCCCAGCTTCCCTCCCTTCTGTTCCAGCCAGGCCCCTGCCAGCTGGCACAAGCAAACACCTTCCTTTTCCCAGCCCTGTGCCAACTCCTCTCCTTGTGCGCGTCTGCTAATAGGTTTGGGCCGTAATCCTCACAAGTGCTTGTGTGCTGATGCTGCCGAATGGCGTGAGGGCGAATGCGTCCTTTAGACTGGGAGGGAAGGAGTCTGGGGAGGGGGAGAAGCCAATGGAAGGTAAGGCTTAGATTTATTGCTGTGGGATGACAATGCCATGGCACTTTGGTCCCCATCTTCTCTTCTTCCCCCCCAATGTGTCTCATACTGTTGGAAGCCAACTAAAATAAGCTGTGGTCCCACAAAACTCTCTCCACGGTTTTGTACCGCACGGGCCAATATCGTCAGAAGAGTTACGAGAGCCCTGGCTCACCTCTCTCTGACTGCATACACAGCCAGAGCTCTTAGCAACTGCTCCCTTCAGGATAAGCTGGATCACGTTAACTGCTGCGCACATGCAACAAGCACAAGCGCACACAAAGACTCCCTTCTGTGCAGAAACCGCGGGTGCCTGGTTTGGCTGCCAAGGGGCGTGAAAATTACCTGGCTCTAATCTTTCCTGTGCTAATGTTGTTATATCTAGTGTTGGAAATCGGGGCAGTTGTTTTTATTTAGAGCTGTTATGCTGTGTAGTTTAACTGAAAAAGATGCGTGCCTTGAAGTGGGTTTGAAGTAGTGAGCATGAGTATCATGGAAATCCTGCAGCGACGGGGTATTTTGCTAGAGGTGCGCTAGGTGAAGCCCCGAGACAGCACAGCAGCCCGGCTGGAGAAAACTGAGCAGTGGGAAGAGAGAAAAGGTCAGGGACTGGTTATACCATAGGGATGACAGGAAGGGCTGGAAGGAAGGAAGGTGCACACCCTTTGAGAAATGCGGCCTCGGGAGGTGGCTTCCAGGACACGGGCAGGAAGAGAGCTGAAACCCAAGAAAAGTTTGTCACAGTGGACTGTGCGGAACAAAAAGGGTGGCACCTCAGAAGACGTGAGGCAGGAGGGGCCAGCTCCTCCTGAAGTGCACGAGATCAAAGCCAGCTAGGAAGAAGGCGAGATTACAGAACAGAATCTATTCTGTAATCCATGAGCTCACAGAAAAGAGCAGAAATGAAGTCTGTACTAACCTTTTCATTATCAAATGTGATTTTCAGTGGAAGGGATGTCAGGCAAGCAGGAATCTACAGCCGGCCTGGGTATGGGAAATGACTCTCTTCAATGGGGCATTCAGAATATCAAAGAGGAGATGGTTACAGGACAGGGGAGATGAAAGTGACCGGCCATGCACTGAGCGGCCCGTACTCAGCTGGGGAGGGGAACAGCCTGGTGATGGAGGAGGGAGTGAGGAACACCAGAGCTGGTGTTAAAGCTGGAACCGCTGTGGAGGCAATGAGTTTATGTTGTGCAACTCCCCTGGCGCCCCGGCTGCCCGGCACCCCAGCTGCCCAGCACCCCTAAAGCCACTTCCTCACAGGTCTGGCACGGAGCAGCTCCCTTGCAGCCTCCGGGTAAAACTGATCTTGGACTCAGATGAAAAGCACAAAACAAGACTCAGAATCCAGGACAACTTTCTTTATTGCTACCAGAAGGCTTTCATCAGTACAATGGCTCCAAATACGATACCTTCCTCAGGGCTGTGGAGAGAGCTTACAATTGGGACAGGTCATTCTGAGAAACAGAGGTGTAACATTTAAGAGACAAGTTTTTAAAGGTTTTACTCCTGGTTAGAAGTTACATGAACACAAAATTTTAGGGTTAGGGTCTTTTGTTTTGGTTTTGTGGCTGGTAATTACACACCTTTCAAACCTCAGGCGTACGTAGCCGCCCCAGCACCTCACCGAGCAGTGCTGGTCACATGCTAAGTTTATAAACATATAGGAAAAAAACAGACTCTGCAGAATTTAAGGTTAACACTTGACGTAGAGAATCAAGTGTTGGTGAAAATCCACACTGAGTGCAACAGTTCTTGGTGCAAACAGGAAAAAAATACCATTTTTGTTCAAGTGATACGAAAATCCGTTAACTGCTTTCTGTGTTTGAAAACACAAACTGTTTTAACTTGGAGAAGACTCTGTATAAGGTACAGAGCACAGTGGCCAGCTGCCCTAGTGTTCTTCTAGAGTAGGTTCACACTCCTGTGGTTTATTACTTAAGTGTGGAGCAGCTTGCAAGCGTTGTTTTTGTTTTTTTCCTGACTAACCTTTTATTTAAATCCAGTTTTTAAATATTATCACATTTAAACACCAAAGTGCTAACAAAACAAAAAAAGGTCGTCTTCTTTAGAAAGGAAAAAGAAAGCTGTCGTGAAGGTCAGGTAGTACAGAACATCATGCACAAGACTCGCTGAGAATTAAAAGAGGAGCAAGCAGAAAGAGAGCAAGGAGCAGATGGAAGTCGGATCAGAGAAGTGTTAGTTGGCTGGGAAACCTGGAACAACTGCACGACTGATGTGAGCTCTTGGAGATGGAGAACAGGTTACAATACACAGGAGCAGAAAAACAGTGGAACTGACAACACTAGAAAGAAACAATTTTTTTGCTACTTTTTTTGTTTGGTTTTTGGGTCTTTTTTTAGATTTTTATACTTTTTTGTGTTTTTAAGTGCTTAAATAGTGGAACTATAATTAGCCGCACAAGAAGAAAATTCAAAAAAGGGTTGGGATTTTTTTTTTCTGGTTTTTTGGCTCCCTTCAGTTCAGCCTGAGAAGGTATAGCCCCTTCTCCCCCCACTGAGAACACAGGACGCCAGGTTCTGTGTGATTTCTAGAGTAGCTGTGGTGGAGCAGGTGGTGTGCACTCACAGCTACATGACAGACACTGGCTGTAAAGGTGGACAAGGGGAAACGTTGCCCTCCTGCCTTGAGACATCAGCGCCACAAACAGAGCCCATGTTTTCAAGAGCCACTACCTCTGGAGCAACGTCTTCGTTGTAGAGACGCTTGATACCGTCGTAGAAGTCGTCCACTTCCATCTCTTCCACTTTACGCTTGGCAGAGGCTTGCTTGCAACCGCTGGGAGCTGGCAGACGCTGGTAGAGCGCGGCTGTACCTGTGACTGGCACTTCTGGCCTGCCGTTGTCCTTGGAGAAACCTGGCCCTGGGACAGAGGAGGGCTGGCATTTGAACGCTCCTCTGTTACAGGTCACCAGGGTATGCTGGAGGGGACTGTAGACATATACAGAATTGGGCAGCAGAGAAGACTGCAGAGTGGAAAGGTGATGTGCCACAAGCTCCCGGCAGTGGATCAGCTGCGAGCTATCCATCTGGAGCGGGAAGACAAGCAAAGATACCGGCATTGCGGGGTCACTGCCACGGAGAGGAGAGGCTGTCAGCCAGGGCAGGGCTAGGGCTCTGAACACACCGGCCGCCTGTCCACCTCACTTCTCAATGATTATGCTGGATGCCGGAGAAAGTAAGTGATGAAGGACCAAAAAGACCCCCAAACATGACAACTTCGTAAGATACGGACCCCCGCTCCTTCTTAAGCCTCATGGGAATAGTGGGGGGAAAAACCTGTCAGATATTAAAAGGTTCCACTGCATATTTTTAGCAGCTTGAGTGTCTGTCTTTCCAGTACTTGTCAGACCACCCCGTATGCTTACAATGAACGGCTGAGCGGCTAACTAGGATTTTCCCCGCAGTGTGTTATTCTCTCCCTGGTGCAGAGACAGCCCGTGTACATCAGGGCACACAGCTCCTCCCTCTGCCACCTAAGGGATGCAGTCAAGATCAAGACTTAGCAGAACTGTCCCAACAAACTGTCCCTTCGGGCTGAAGCACAACCATCCTGGCAAAAGCATAACGGCAGGCAGAGATCAGCAGCTAGGGATCTGAAAGCCCCGGCCGGCTTGCATCACTGGAGTACTGAGCAAGATGCAGCCTTCTGCGGCCCCCGGTCCCTCCCCGCTGTAATGTGCGGTGCCAGCACCCCCTCACCTGTGCCTTCTGGAGCAGCTCGATGATGAGAGCCAGCCAGTCGGGGAGCAGCTTCTCCAGCTCCAGGCTGACGATGGCCAGCGCCAGCATGGAGCCCTTGAACTGCAGCAGCTGGTAACAGGCCATGCAGTGCAGCAGCTGCTTGGTGAGCGCCGCCACGTGCTGAGAGGGACTCAGCTTGGGCAGGATGGTCAGTAGCTGAGGCCTGTTGGACACCGCAACTGCGTGGAACTGGGGGGGGAAACAAGCACATGAGGCAGCTGGCGTCACCGACAGGCAGCCAACCCCACAGGCAAAGCCAGGTCGGACCTCAAGAATGGCATGCGACATGTCTTTGATGTAGAAGATTCCTCCAGCCTAACCTTCAAAGCAATTTCCACACCGTGGAAAAAAAATGATGCGTTGAACCCACCGACAGCCTGGTGCAGTGTTTCTGGCGGGACCTGCCATGATACACATCATCTGCCTGGGGACCAGGCTTCTCGGGCTCTGCAAAAGGCTATCCCCTTCCACCCTTCTCTCTCAACAACACAGGTTTGGCAGTTCAGGTGTCCTAGACAAAAACTCATTCTCGAGCAAGCAGAGAAGATGGAATTCAACAGAGAACCTCAGGACGCTTTCCTTCCCTTTGTCTTATCTCATCCATGAATCTGGATCTCTGGCCGTGCCTTTCTGTAGCAGGCATGGACTGCAACCATTACCTACCATCAGTGCTTTCTCCATGGTTGTAATTACTGTTTTTGTGCTGCCTGGCATTTAGCTTTGAGCAAAACCACTAGAAATTAAGACGTGGGGACAAGGTTTTCAGGAGCTGTGAGTCTTAGTGTGTGGTTTAACATACATTGAATCAGGTCAGACAGCAGGCCCGTGTTTTGGAAATTGCGCCCAAAGTGTCACAAGTCTCCTCTGAAATTCTCTGGTAAGGATTTTTCTTTCAGAAACTACTTGCACGGAGGAATCAGGAACACATCCTGAGGTCTTCGCTCCCCTACAGGTAGACTTTTTGTCTAGGTACCTTATTTACACCGACAGACACTATAAAGAACGTAAATAGCCCCTTACAATATGAAGGAAATCCAGTGGCGTTGCCATGTGAAGATCCCAGTTCAGTTTATCCAGGATAATCTTCTCCATTCTGCGAATTTCAGCTGGAGAACAACCACAAAAGCTATCCCGAGCCAACACCTTCAGTACTGGAATCCTCTGCAAAGGCCAATGCAAAAAAAGAAACGAGAGAACCAGTCATTATAGAAATCACACAAAACGCTTCATTCCTGTCCTGGCAAGCGTCAGCTGCCATGTGCAAGAAAAGGCAGGACTGGAAGACTATATATTCAGACAATGCTAAGGTGGTAAGAACAAAAAAATTACCTCATCTTCCTCAATGGTCTTTGCAGCAAGGAAGAAGCAGCTGATTGCAATACAGTTCAAGTACTTTGGACGGGCCTATGGTACAGAAAAGCAGAGAAGTCTCTGTGTGAATGTGATGCAAAAATTATGCCTAGTCCTTTCTCATCGGACATCCTGAGCCCCAGGGTCTCAGCTGCCCATGCAACGCGTTCCGGATCAGCAGGCTGACCTCCAACTATGCCACGGCGGTGGCAAGCCGTGCCAAGCAAAAATCCATACTCCATGATGTAAGGCAGAACAGTAATCTGCCAGCCCTGTGATCGTAATGGGCACCCACTGATGTGCAGCGCTGGAGTGCAAAGAGCTCATTTTTAGCCAGTGCAGTAGAAATAGGAAGGAGAAAATCAGAAGGGCCAGAAGGAAAAGAAGAGAATTTGAAAATGCTGTCCTTGCCTAGGTAAGCATAGAACACCCATAAAAACCATCACTTACTTAATTTCGCAGTTCTCAAAACAGTGGCCCAGGGATTATTGAGGGAGAGCTGGTCCCTTCTACAGTGAGTTGTTTCAGGCAAAATAAGTGAAATTTGGAGGGGAAAGGGTGATTTTTTTTTCCTGTGCGCCAAAAACTCCTTGATGCGCCTTGGCTGGGTGGGTGAAGGGGGAAGCAGGATGCAGGGGCTGTAAGTATTCAGATAGTCCCTGTGATGGACAGACTAAGTGCTCTGAATATGGCGCATCTGCTGGAGCTTTTGCTGAGCAGTGACCTTTGTCAATCTGACGAAGGACTTCACTTTCAACATCAGGGTAAAAACCACAGGATGTGTCCGCCTGCTCCTTAGTGGCTGGGGGCTAGGAAATGCAGAGGCACTGTTTCTAAACCTTGTCACAGCTGAGTGACTACACAGCTGCAGAGCCTTGCCCCCCCCTGCCCCCCCGCTTCAATAGCCTACTGGCAACTGGTCCTCTTCTGTCCACGTTAGGAGATGCTGAAAGCAAAGGTAAGGGAAAATCCTGCACCGAATGTGAAAATCTACTTACAACCTGAACAGCTGCCATGATTGATTCTTGCTAGGTAAATTTTAGTAGATGCAACACAACTATGAGGTGGTTGAAGGGTGAGATGCTGCACGTTACACTCGTGCAATGAGCTGTCAAAAAATCCAGAACACTGTTTCCAGAAAGCAACAAGAGAAGAACACAGGATCGTGTCCAAATTGAAGATCTTTGCCTACATTCAGCCTCAGTTACTTACAAAGGACCATGCTATGCCTAAAGCTTTGGCTTTCTACTGCCATTTAAATGTCAACTTAAATACGTGTAGATGAATCCACACTTGGGGGCGGGGTGTACATGCACACGTCTGCTTGTGCATTCACGTGTCACTGAAAGCAAAAAGAATAAATTCCCTTAAGGCAAGACTGAAACGTGTTCTTGACCACGCAGGCAGGTTCAAAGATAACTGTCAAGTTAGCACAAAATAATGTATGGCAAAGGAGGACACCTTCTGCATCGTATTCGGGGAAAAGCAGGTGTCTAGAGCAGGTTCCTACCATCAGGGAAGCTTATTCTCCCCTATATTCTCCCTATCACTTTAACAATAATTTCCTCTCTTTCCTAAGTGCATAACCTCTAGAGACTGACCTGAAAGGAACAACTGTGTCTTTTGCCAAAGCGTGTTAAAACCCAGTCACGCATCCTGGTCTCCTACAGGAGCTTCTACCTGCCTTGCCGGCTCTGCGCACAGGGGCAAGTGCTGCCGAGATGGGCTGTAAACGCGGCTCTGCTGAGGGTTAACGAGCGCTGTGCAGTGAGTTACACCACAAGCTGCTGGCTGAGCCTCCAAAGCACGACTGGGCAACAGCCTCAGGGCCAGCCAGTCCGAGCCATTTCAAAGCGTGTTCACGGTGAAGGGAAGGGACTAGTTTTCTTAATAATAAAATCCCACACGGTAGCACCTGGTAAAAAAACAGGAGTTAAGCTGCATCAGAGGAATGACGGCTTTATGGGAGAGGAAAGCTGGGGGAGGGAGCACAAAGCCCTGAGCTGTTTGAACAATGCTCACCCAGACAAAACACCTTTCCACACTCCTGCTCGCTGCCTGAAGCGTGCAGTGGACTCCTTACTCGTATTCTCATACTTTCTTTGCAGACTCCTTGGCTGCTGCAAATTACTGAAAGAAAAACTGTACTCAAGGGCATTAGCTGTTGAGGGATTTAAATCTATTTCCCATCGCAGTATTTCAGTAAATCAGCTACTTTGAGGGCTCCTTAAAAATAAAAACTTCCATGGCTTGTAATTAAAACGTTATCAGTATTTCCTAATATTTAAAGAGTAGGTTAATGGATCATGTCACTTGCCTTCTACCAAACTTAGTGACCTTGAAATGTAAGTGCACAGGCTGAGAATACCTTCTCCTGCTTAGATCTCCTAAGCTATCTTGCTTACGTAACAGTGTTGGTGATGAGATTAGACACACGTGCAGGTGAGACTGCAGATCTGCTGAGCACGGAATGTAACTGAGCAAATACGGTAAGAGAGAAGGCTACCCAAAGCCTGACTTCACAACTCAAGGCCAGGGATTTCGGGTTGGCCCGCAGTTTGTTCAGCCGCTTGTGCGGGTGCAAAATACGGCCCAACCGCAGCACACCTAACTTGATTCCGTGGCAGACTTACGGGGACAGAAGAGGAGCAGATCTCAGTTGCAGGTACCCAAACACTGATTTTTAACTTGTCTTTTTTAAACAGTTTCTATGGTGTAACAGCCTTAAAACCAAACGGGCATATATATTCTCTGTTCAGTACGGCAGGAGTGGACAGCCTGTCACTTTGATGGCTTGCACCCATGCTTTTTTACTCCTCTCTCTCCTTCACATCTGTCTGATTTGACATCAGGCTTAAGCTTTAGTCTGTCAGATTGGCTATAGAGCACGTTAGTAGTGAACTACTCCCCCCAAAAGCAATCATCTCTGGCTGTGTCTTCCCCGCCCGCCCCCTCCCCCCCTCCTTTTTTTTTTTATTTCCCTGCACTAGCACACTTGCCAGGCCCAAACCTGTCCTCAAACATTTATTTGTTTTATCCAGCTAGTTCACTCCTAGCAAGAGCTCGCAGCAATTCTAGGTGGTACAAATGAGATTAAATGCAGTTAAAACACCAGAGAAATTAAGAGCTGAGCAGGGACTTTCCCTGACTTTTCGGTCAGAGGGCATTGGGCCGAGGTTTCTAACTGTGGGCTGGCAGGCATTTCCTTTAGCTTTATGAGTCAATTTCTGGTAAGGTAGAGACTTTTCTCTTTTTATTTAAAGCATAACTTTTATGAAGCCTCTTTTTCTGATTGCTTAAAGGAACAGGTACTGTGCTGAGGCAAAGTCAACATTCAAACCAGGTTAAGAGCGAGCAAGCAGTTGACGAGGAAGGGTGCTGCTTTTCTCTTCGGTTAATAGACATTTTAACTACTGAGCTCATTACAAGAAGGAAATGGGGAGAGCAGAGAAGAGAGGGAAAATATTTTTGGCAGGTATAAGCACTGGGTCAGTTCCCCGAGAACTGTGTGTTCTCATTAAAGCAATGGCTACTTCCGCCAGGTGAAAAATGACTACGGAAAGAATCTACATCGAAAAGTTCCTGGCGGCAGTGTGTGCTGCCAGTTCCACAACCCGAAATTAGGCGCCTGGAGTCGTGCAGGTACCATCCTATACGTGTGTGAGAAAGGAAGAGGGGGTGAGAGCAGAGGGGGGAAGTAAGGGTTTCTGTACAGCCCCACCACTAGAACTGTACGCACAAATAGCTGAGTGGGTGGTATAAATCTATTTCAGTTTATGTATCTGCAAATATTTACCTTTACTGCAGCTAAAAACCTGTCCAAAAGGCTGATGGCCAGGGCGAGCGTTTCTGGATAAAGGTGGAACTGGTATTTGAGCTTGGCCAGCCACTGAATGACCTCATCCCTCTGCTTTGGAGAAATGGCTACATCCTGTTGGAGAGAAAAACAAACTATTCTTATACGCAGGCTGAGCAAGTCAGAAAACACCAAACGTTTTAGCTCCGCAGGAGTTATTCAACATGGAAACAAAACCTCCTTTGGGAAGGGGGGCCTCGAGCCAGCCTGAACCACCATTTTGATCTCGCTGTTACCTACCCCATCCCCAGAAATCTGCCCTGGAAAAGACAACTTTCCTTACAGCCACCTCAGACGTCACTCAGAAATTTCACTGTTTGTTGGGGAAAAGAGGAAGGATGTCTTGTAGGTTCTCAAGGACTGACAGCATAGACTCCGGCTTGCTTCTAAGAGATTTATTTTTTTTTTTAACCTTCTTAGAACCATGTAGTTGCATAGAAATGCCCAGCTAGAACAAAACTAGACATGCTCTGGGAGCCAGGTGGGTGCACAGCTCCTGACACACAGAAGAGGGGAGTGACCGAGTTCATGTTTTGAAAGGAAAGGTTTATTTTTCTTTCAAATTATGTGGATATTTTTAGCTCCGTATATGTTAAAAAAAGAAAAATCCGAACAGCTTCCAAAAGACCTTTAGCAGTATAGTTACCTGTGAACTGGGGTTAAGTAGGTACAGTTTCAGCTAAAAAAGTTTGAGTTTGGGGTTTTTTTTTTAACTTTTTGGCCCAAGTCACCACCATTGATCTGTGTGGACAATTTTAACTACACATATGGATCAATCATTGACATAAAATCTTCCTTTCTGACTTTCTTCAGAAATATTTACGAGATTCCTAGCTTTTCTAGAGCCTTCCAATTCAACCACGTAAATGTCCGGTCTCACTTCTACGGGTATTATTTTGGGTGACTAGCAAGGATGTGTCCAGAAGGGAGAAATGAAACCAAACCAATTTCTTCTGCTACGCTCAGGGTCCTTGTGCAATTTTGGCTACTGCTGAGATGGTTAGAGAGAAAAAAAAACAAATGAAATGCTGGCTGACCAGTTACTGTGGAAAAGAAAGCAAAGGGCTTGGGCAAACAAACATCACTGCTGCACTGGGTTGTAGCTGTCCTCCCAGCAATGACACGGGGGAAAAGTAGCAGAATTTAAGAAAATAAAAACACCCAACGTTGTTGCAAAATAAATACTTCAGGCTCCATCTATCACCAAAGAACCTACCGTTTGCCTTACACAGACAGTAACAGCTTTGTTGTAGGCCTACTGACTCTCCTACTGTGGAGCCAAGAACCTGTGTGAAAGCAGAGCCTCGTAGGCAGAACCGTAATTACACTAGGGCCTGCACGAGGACGCCAGCTTCACACCTTGCGTTGTTACTCGTAGTATGACAGCTTTACTCTGTGCTTAACTTCCCTACTGGTGCTGAGCTCCACTTTCAGCACTGAGGGGGACAGAAGGGGTGGGGAAGGTGGCAGGGTTCGAGCCCCAGGGATGAATTCTGGGCTCTGTGACAGTGGGTGTACAGCCGGTTACTGCTGCTCACAGACAGACGTCCCGCCAAAATGCGGCCACCCAACTCCCTTAGAAAAAGTACAACAGTAACCGTGCTCCTGTAGCAGGGATCTGGTCTAAAGACACGGGGTTGTGCAATCCAAAGCTGTTTCTTCCAGCTGTACGAGCTGGGCTAATAAAGCAGTACTGCCTCTGCCTGCGAAATGTGCCTTCACTGCTCTATCAGGTGCTCCCGTGAGGAGAACAAAGTCCTGCCTTGTTTTCTTTCCTGAAGCCCCGACGGTGCAAAGGTGTCAGCAGGACTGTGTGTCTGATCCAGGTGGACCTCTGCTCTCAGCTGGGTCCTCCGGATGCCACTTGACTGTAGTGTGGCTTTTTAAAATACACCTACCATTTTTCAGGAGAGCAGAGAAAATTAGTTTCCTCAACTCCAAGAAATAATGATTCTTTCTAACATCATTACTGCAATTTAAGGGTGAAATCTGAGCCCCACCAGGGGCAGGACACCGCTGCCTGCAACATGTTGCACTCGTTCCAGAAATGCTAGTTCGATGCGCACTGGGAGTATAATGGATATGCCACACAGCAGTAAGTTTATTAAATGCTCTGCTAAAAACATCTTTTGGACAGCGGGATAGGGACCCAGAATGTATCTGGGGAGAAAAATGGACAACGCTATGTTATTTACTGGCTGTCCTTATAGACCATACTTCTCCTATAGCAAAGCAAGGCCTGCACAGCTGAGCCTAAAAAAGGCAGAAAAAGGAGGAGCGATAGTTAAGGTGAAGTTCCTTATTGCTTTATTCATTGCGCCTATTTTAAATGGAAGGAGACAAAGCCATACAAACGAGCTTATAACTACAGCCAGGTTTGGACAATATTGTGGACTTAAAAGACTTCAAGTAGCTTAAAGGATTATTTTGGAAATGCAGTATCTGGGTGAATCCAGCGGGTAAGCTCAGCTGCAAAAAGCCAACCTGAAACCACCCCATCGAACAAAATAAAGTTGAGTTTAAAAACCTGCCTCTGACTCTTAAATCACTGCCCTGGTCCTGCCACAGCAGCTTTACCGGTGAAGCCAGCAAGAACGGGCCCTTGGCCGGCAAGGGGAGAGCTGCATCATCAGTGCAGTATCAGCGGGGCGGCAGCCTCTCTCTCCCCTGCGTTCCCTCCTGCAAGGCCACATCTGCTTTAGGGCAGGGGGCGAAAATGGCACCTGTGGCGCTCCTTGCTGGGGAGGCAGGGCCATGCCTCAGCAGCACGGGGGGATTTTTCCCATCCCTTTCCATTTCTGGTAAATCACACTCCAGCTAGCTCCCAGCAGAAATGGGCATCAGTTTCAACAGCTCCTGGCGGTGTCTGTCCTGGCTCAGCGCTGTTTTCCCTGTGCCTGCCAAAGCAAAAGGTTAGGCCTTCTCCTAAAAACAGCTTGGATGGGAAGGGTAAGATCGTCTTTCCATGCTGCCTCTCAGCCTTCAGTCCTCCCAAGATCTGTCCTTGTATCTTCTCACCCTTCATGGGCAGCGTGAGGCCAAAAGGCAAAATTCCAGACTCGGGAGTTAGCTTTAAATGGCAAGACAATGTAACAAAGAAGAGCAACTGTACACTCGGACCCTGGTAACAAGGGTCCTTTCCATGCGAAAAAGAAACAGTGTTTAATCTAAACCACTGAAAAACAACAATGTATCTCAGCAAGACATAAAATGGAAACAAAGAAAAAACAGCCCCCACACAGAGCACCGTGTTCTTCAGTATGAAGGAACAACTGCGAAGTGAACTCGCATGTAGGTATATGCGCAGCAGCAGTAAGGCTTCAAAATAAAATCTGGCTTATTAATAACTATCTGGGGAAGCAAAGGAAAGGCGGTGAATCTCCAGCTCTTTTCTGCAATAACATCAGTCCTACCCAAAGTTTGTCTACTCCAGTCTCTAACTGCAAATAAAGGAGCACAAGGGTGGGGGGAGAATCCCCACACACAGAAAGAGCAGGTGAATTTAAACCTCCTCCCATCAGCACTAGAAAAGTTCCTTATGGACCGTTTTAAGAGGCAGGCAGAAGGAATAAGAACTGGTCCCACCGCACCCACAAATCCTGCTGCTACTTCCAAGCAGGGCAAGGAGCTTCCCACACAAATGTATCAGTCTTTATCCCTCTCCCTTGAAGGTGTCATCCTAGTAACACAAATAAGAAAAGCAGCACTGTAAAATTAATTAAGCAGCAAGGTCACTGTTCCTTAGTTATATAAAATTAAAAGCAAAAACAAAACACTACGGTGGCTGAAAGTAAGAAAGTCCCTTTGGGATGGAAAGCAAAAGTTCCTCCTTGGTGTGGAGGTACTTTCCCACAGACGTCGCCTTCTGCCACTCACCGCATCTGCGTGTGGCCAGCTCTTTGTTTTGTTGCTGCAAATCCACCGTTGCAGAACTTAACCCCCGGGGTGGAAGAGCATGATAGCCTCGCGTGATGGCTTTAATTAGGGAGAAGTAACCCAGGCCCAGCAACGGCAGACTCTGTTTTCACACAGCAGCAGTAGGTTTCTCTGAGACGGACCTAACAACTGCCCTCGCGACTCAAGGACAATCCATCTCCTCTGACTGGTGCTTTCCCCCACTCTTTTTTTCGGAGGCGAGGCCCGACCTACAGACCTGATTGCCCATCCCGGCACCAAAGGTTAGCAGACGTGCACGTGACTCCTGCCACCAAAAAAGTGACTGTGCTCCCAGCTCTTCACCACAGCCACCACCAGGATCAGGCGCCTGACTGAGCCGCAGCCCTGCTCGCCCTGTGTGACCGCGGGTGGCCAGGACCCCCAGCTGCTGCGGAGGGGCCACATTACCTGCCCCCCTCCCCCCCCCGCCAGCCATCGCAGACCGAGCCTGTGCAGGTGCCAGAGTGCTTTTCCCTGGACTGGCGCCTGTGCAGATATTTGCAGGAGGCGCCGCTTGGCTGGCCCGCAGCAGGAAGCCAGCAGGCAGCTGCATAAAGCATGAGAGATTTCAGAACAGTTATGCTATGCAGGAAACACCCCACGGAGCACAGGCAGGACTCGTGCAAAGGCGCCTGACGGAGTTTTACTGAGAATGAAGAGACACGGTGCTGCTGCCGCACTGCCTTACGGTAACTTTTACAAACTGCCCTGTGCACTTACAGCCGTTTGCTCACAGCCATCTCTTCGTCTGCCCTGTGCCTGGGACCAACAGTGATGTGTAACGTGGCAGGCTGAATGCTCCTGCAGAGAGCAAGATCAACCGCTGCTCTTTAACAATACACCTTTCCTCCCTCTCCATCCTGCTTAATGCCGCTTGGCATCTCCACAAAATAAGAGAAAAGGTTTCCGCGGCTCTTCTCCCATGTCCCACCTGCGGAGCACACACACACACCTCCATCCATCGGGAGGCCGGCGGGCGCAACGGACAGAATGCTGCACACAACGAGCCCTGCTGGCATCAGCGCAAAATGGGACACCCAAAGAGCGCAACAGGCCCGTCAGATGTGCGAACCTATCAAAGCTATTCCAAACCCATGCGTGAGTGACAGACCTGTATCTTCTTTTCCAAGCTGAAGACGTGATCCTAATTCCCACCTTTTCAGAGCACAACAGTGTGTGTAAGCCCATCAGTTTTGTTTCAGCACGAACACAAATAAGCCACCTTGCAGAACTACGGAGCTAACGGAATGTGTTTGGGACACAAATGGGGAAGCGGAGGGATGCCAACTTCTCTCTCGTCCTTGTGTAAAGCAGGGGAACATCACATGGACCTGCTTCCTGCCATTATTTGCTTGATTCCTTATCAAGAAATATCCTGTCTGTCACGCTATTGATGAACATGCCTTTAAATGCTGTCAGCAAACAGGAAGCTTCTGTGAAGGATTCCTGACAGGTATTTTACGTAACACGGCACGAGGCCAGTCAACATGCCAGGGACCGCAGGTGACTACGCTGACTAATGAAATGGCAGCGCCGCACTGACCGTATCTGTCATTTTACCACTCCAAAGTGAGCAGCCGCAGAGGTCAGTAATTCTGCCCAAGGGCGGGAATACGGCGCCCCGTACAAAACACACAGACGCGAGGCCTCCAGCATCTGTGACGGTTAATATCTTATTTGTTCGATTCCCAAATCAGTGCCCCAAAGCCCACTTCTTAGGCATTCTGTCAGAAAGCTGCCTGCGAGGCCTTGGCGATGGTGGGAGGCACACAGAGCTGTTGTTCTGCTTCCTGTTCACCGACAGCCGAATCGCCTTGTTACCGTCCCTGACCCAGCACCTCTGCCGCGGGGCCTGCTGCACGCTCGCTGCATGAGACAGGAGGGCTGGAGGCCGTGACTCAGGCTCCAGAGCAAGAGCACAGTACAAATCATCTCTAAGAATACCTTTAGACTTTTGGAAAATGCAGATTAAAAAAAAAAATCTGTGAACTCAAACATGACTCAATTTTATTGCTGCCTAATCTAGGAAAAACACCTTACCTGATAATTTTTTTTCTTTAGCGTCTGCTGTCCCAGACAGAGATGTTTTGCTCTTTCCCGTATTTGTTTCTGCCTAGTCCCGCTGTGGGCTCCTCGGGGAGCAAGCAGGTGACCTTTATCAGGACTGGGAGGCTTCTGAAAAGGGCAATTGTAGACATGGCAGCCAAATCGGTCCTTCCTTGGGTCTCAGGCTTGTTTTACGCCAGAGCGGCCCCCAACTGACGCCCGCTGGGATGCTTCTCACTTGTACCAGTGGGGTCTTAGAGGTGCTCTCCTGATACCTTTCAGAAGTGGCGTTTTGCAGGGTTTGCCTACAGTTCAGCGGCACGGCAGAGAGCTCAAGCAGCACAGCCTCTGCCATCTGCACGGTAGCGTGCACAAACACGGGGGGAGAGAGATTACTGCTCGGCAAAGCAGAAGAGCTGGACGCGTTAACCTCAGAATGTTTTACAAAATTGGTAAGTCAGTCTACAATTCGCCCGCAGGATAAAACAGGCACCAGAAGGTTAGAAGACCGACCCAAGGTCATACAGCGAGACAATGGAAAAACTGGAAATAAACTGAGGTCTCCCGATTCCTCAAGAGGTACAGAGAACAAACGAGAAGACAGAAAGAAAGACCCAGAACAGGCAAGAAAGCAGAAGGGACAGAATTGACGCTCTGTTTCTATAAAAAAATAAAAACCTTAGCTTACGCACCTCTCTGCTGCGAAGTTACTTGGTAACATGCAAAAATCAACCTTTGACCAGTCTTTACAGCTTGATTTCTCAAGCCTTAATCACATGAAAACTTCTGAATGTCATCTGCATGTTGTATAACCCAAGAGAGGAAAAAAAAAGAAGAAAAAAAAAGACCAAATACATTCAGAAGGACTAGGGTTCCAGACTCAACCCCACTATTTTTTTCGGGCTGAAAAGCCTCTGTGACACCTGGCTTTGATATATTGCAAATACCCAGAGCCAGTGGCCTACCTTTAAAGGAGGGAAACTAAAAGAAATACACATACCAGTAGGAAATGGGAGTTTTCAGACAAGAAGTAAAAACAAAACAGAAAAATCACATACATTGTCAGGACCGAAGTCCCCAACAGATTCTGCATCCTGCACTAAAAATGTCAAGTCTTCCTATTTCTGTAACTACGAGTTTCTTTCTTCCTTTCAAAGATCTCAACTCTGACACATATTTAGAAACTGAGTTTGTTCCAGGTTTAAACATTAGAACCAAAAAATGTCTCCTAAAGAGTCAAAACTGAAAGTTTACTCCTGAAAAATAGTTACAGCGTACCTCCAATCAGATCATTAGGGTTTTTTGTAGACGCTCTCACATTTTCTCATTTGCAAACCAGATGACTTCATTAAAACCCTTTCTGTAGTCAGTTTACCTTTGTAGCAAGGAATGGAAAGTTACACACGCTTCGGGTTGCCAGATCTGATACAGAGAAGGATGCAGATTTCCTGACTGTCATGGGAAATAAACAACAGTTTCATACCACGGAGGTTTTAGGCTACCGCAGCTGTTTTCAAAAGCAGGCAGTAGATGTTAGGGAATACGACCTTCTTCCAGATATTACAGAGCATATGGTAATTCACACTGAATGTCCGTGACTGCAACATTGCCAAAATGAACGCTGCAGAAGTGGACGAACGCGTGACAGTTTGAAAAGTCGGGTGTCACGAACGGCAGGAACAGAGAGAAATACGTGACTACAGGTACAGGGTTTTCAGCTGCACCGTGGCATTGCAAGTCAGGATTTCCCTAGAGCAGGCAGCTGTGTTTATGTTCTCTTTTAAATCTGACCTTCGTACATTTCACACATACGCACACAGAGATTCAATCCAATTTAATGATTATTTACTGCTAGAAAACATTTAATAGTACGGCATTCTAGCTGATAAAGTCAATGTCTGAGCTGACACGTAGGAAAACATTAAGAAAAAGGTTACAAACACAACACAGTTTTGGGGGTGGAAATTCCAGGAGTAGGAACCCTAGGGTGACAAGCACTAGGAGGAAACACTCCCAAGCACGGACCTCTGTGATACTGTCAAAATGCAGGGGAGGAGGGCGGAAGAGATCCTTCATCATGATGACATAATTGCACGCTAAAAGGACAAACTTGGTATTCGTCCAGGCCAGACCTGAGACTCTGCTGTCGAGCACAAACTTTACACTGGCTTTAGCCATCAGGCTGTTTCCATGCTTGATCCTACTCTGACTTTTCACAGCAGGCAACAGAGCTGCCTCCCCGGTTTCATATTCGGCAGACGGCCCAAAATTCCGTTAACTTCTCTGAGTATTTACCACTGAGGACAACGCTTCGCGAGGTGCTGCAAACCTCAACCGCAGTGACGTTAAGACTCCCTCACGGTCCCTGGCAGCAGGACAACTGCTCTTCACCAAAGACAGGGCTGAGGTTCTGCTGCAGCGACAGCTCGAACGTGGCATAGGTGGGGAACCTCATCGACAACGCGATCCTGCAAGGGAGGGATTGCTGGGAAGACTGTCTAATGCAGGTGGTGGTTTCTGAGCCACCAGAATCAACTTCACCACGGCAAAAATGCAAACACTTTGACCCTGTGAAATCTTCACACAAGAATCTGGTTTGCTTACACTCCCTGAGTCCCTAACCTGTCTCGTTATACTGTAATCTTATCTCCCTATAATCACTAACCCCAGCAATACTGCCAGCATGGAATAACAGGCTGGTTTACCATAAACCAGGGTCTCAAATTGTACGTGCCCAAAGACAGCCACAGCTACAATATACTCAACACCTCTGACAACCAGGTCACTTATTTGGAAGCCTCAATGTGGATTAGCAAAACTAATACTGAGCCCCTTAAAAACATATTTGTTCCTACACAACAGCGGTTTCTTGTTCACCAGACAGAAAAAGCAAACACCACACTGATTACCTTTGACAACATACTTGCGTGAACATTTTATATGAATCAAGAACAGCAAGACTGGATCTGAGCCCATTAGTGTGGTTATTTCTGCCCAACCCAGCAACAAAGTACCAGAAACTCTGTGACAACCGTCCTCATGTTTCACATTCTGTTTTAAACAAAACTTTGTGGAGTTCACAGGCATTTTTGAGTGCACGTGCTAGACACACGCCTCCTCCGCAAGGAGCACAAACACAGTTCAGGCTGGGTAAGGCCGTGAGCGACCTGGTCCCACCTCCCAGCTGGCCCTGCTGCAAAACTTGTGCAGGAGGCTGGACTACGGACCCCCTGCGGTCCCTTCCACCCTTGAGTTTTCCTCCAGTCCTGTGAGAACATTCCTCACTGGAACAGGTCAGCGCCTGGCTCTGCTTCCCTCGACACGAGCTTGCACCCTGCTCCACAAATAGTCCTACTACAGTCAGCGGGGTTCTTCCTGACGTAGACAGTGCCTTACCGAGTCAGATCCTCATCTGGCTTCAGCTGATACAGCTACAGCCTACCCCGCAGAACTAGGCTGACTTACACAAGGGAAGAATCTGGCCCAGAATGGGAAAAGGCAGCAAAGTCAGGCTTTCGCTGTGAATACGCTGTTTCAGGGGGAGGCCTGAGCTAAGATAGCGGTACCGGTTCACGTGAGAAGACGTCACCTCATGTTGAAAGCAACCAGCATTTCAACGCTGTTATCGGTGAACTTAGTCCAAGAAAATGAAGCTGCTTTTAAGAACTGTTGCAGAGTTGGTGCCCGCTAGAAATGTGCGTTAATTATCCACACAATTTGTAAAATGAATTTAATTAAGACAGTATTACGTACGCGCTTTCACAAGCAACAGCAGAGATCTAACACTGTACGCTGTACTGTGTGTTCTGTACCACTGATTGCAGGTATGTCCCTCAACCGAAAAAGTAATCACTTACTTCAGAGGCTAATTTCCCAGGTCTCAAGCAGAAGGTAACTTCTCATGCAACAGCTTCAGTTGTTCACATAAAAACACACCAGAGGATAGTCTCATGCCTTTAATAAGACGAATGATGCGAAGAAGAGACGTTACCTGATTGGGCTGAATTTTCGGCACATGTGCTTTCCACATTTGAGCTTCCCTAGAGATTGCCGTCTCCAGAAGGAGAGACAACCTCTGGCTCTCCAGGGGTCCTGAAAACTTCATGGCAACCCTTGGATCCACCTGCCACCCAGCTGGATACAGCTACCTGCAAAACCAAAGACAGCCTGGTGAAACACTGAGCCGTGCCTGTCCGGTAAACTGAGCAAAAGAAAGCACAAAGGTGACTGAAGCTGCCAGAAATGGCACAGGCTCATCTGTAACACTGGCAGTGATCAGGTACTTGTCAAACCTACCCGAGGAAACCCAAACCAGTCGGCTCAGGTTCAGATGAAGCTGGGCCAAAATCATCCACAGGTCTCCAACACCTACGTGGGCTGGAAAGTCCTGCCACTTCAAGGTTTTCTCTCTCTCTGTTATGTATGCAACCAGGCAAGACCTCTCCCGCTTCAGCAGCGCTAAAAAGTAGGGGTGTTTTAAGGTTTTCTCTCTCTCTGTTATGTATGCAATCAGGCAAGACCTCTCCCGCTTCAGCAGCACTAAAAAGTAGGGGTGTTTTGCAAAAAATACTTGAGAAGAGGGAGGAGCTGTGTGGCAAATATACAGAGGATTTCAGTAAGTTGGTTGCCCTGGCCCAAATCTCGCTGAAGTTAAGACCAGTCTACCTGTGACTTCAAGGGAAGTTAAGACTGACATTCAAACCGTTTTCAAAAATCCCAGCCTTGGAGTCTGGTTGGTGCCAGCCTTACCCCAGTACTCTCAGCAGCAACTGGATGTTCTGTGCAAAACAGAGGAACGCTTGTCTGAGAATTTACATGATTTACAAGCTGAAGCCTGGCAAAAAGATCAATGTCTTCCCTCTCTGCACAGTATGGTTTGCAGCTTCTCACAGAAGCTGCGACCTGTTTCGCGTGCAATGCAAATGTACCAGGGAGTTCAGGAAGGTTCCTCTCGGGTCTAATCACTCTGAAAATATGTTAGATCCACAAAACTTTAGCCACATCTCTAATTTTAGATAGGAAATGTGTTTTAAAGGAGGAAAAAAGCAGCAAACCCAGCCTTTGCAAAACATGAAATGACTACAAGCCGGGTAAGTGACGGAGAAAATTTCTGCGAGGCCTACAGTATTCAGAAACACCTGCTTCCACGGGCAGAAGCGATGATAACAAAGCATGCCATCTAAAGCAAAACACCTTGCTATACACAGAACAGAAAAAAGATTTTTTTTTTTTTTTTTAAAGACAACAGATTCCACCACCTGCTTTCAAATGGAGAAGACCGTCTGATGGAAAAAGTTATTCAAATTGTTCTAATACTGCCTACCATTACTCTGGCCGCAAATTTCTTGACAGTATTAAATCACTTAGGCAAAACAATTCAGCCCTGAAGGGTAAATCCATGGGAAAGTTATTTAAACTTTCAATTCCTTTTGTGAGCTCTTGTGAAATCCGCAACAGGTGGATATTGGCCAAACGCTAACCAGGCTATTTTATAAAGACTAGCTTGTTAATACAACAGTTTGTGCTGTATTTACAGGAAATAAGGCAACGTGTTGAATCAGAGAAAATAAACAAAATTCACAGTGAAAACAATCCGTTTATTATAAATAATAACAACAGCAGCTCTGAACAAACGACGATTCAGGCTGCTTTCACAGAGTTAAGGGAAACTGCAGAACAAATATTTTTCTTTATCAATTTACAGTTTTTCATGGGCGCGATTCACACAGAACCCGCACGAGGCATAAAACCGCACTCAAGTCCCACTTCTAGGCAAGCAGGTTTTAAGTGGCAAATAAACGTCAAGCCTCTCGGTCCTGAACAGAAACCCCTTTTATATTAGATTTTTATAAAACAAATGCTTCTCCATGAACAAAGGAGAGGCTGTACTGGCTTGGCATACCCCTACACAAGGTTTCCAGCCCGTCAGTGTAATGACCCAAGGTAATTTGGGCCATATACGGATTTTCCGGCTGGAGGGAACACCTCAGATCCATGATCCCTGAAAGGGCTCAAAATGCTCTGCAGTGTGTCTCAAAATCACTCCCCATCAGCCCCGAAATGGCTAACTGAGTATCACTGGGGACTGAAAAATCCCTACTAAAAGTTCCCCACTTGACAAGAGGGAGACTCTGCCTGGGAAGAGGTGAAACTGCGTTCCTCTAAACAGAACCGTGGCTTGAACCGCAGCTTGTTTATGTGCATTTACTCATTTTTGCATGTCTTTTTTAAACCTCGGGATAATCCTGGCAACACTCATACCAAATGGGGCTGCCAGTGAGGCTGAAGGGGAAACAGGGATGCACATTCACAGCCTCCCCCCCAGCTCATTCCCCCGGGGGCTTCATTAGCATCTTATTATCCTCCCATCAGACACCACAGGTTTCCGTGTGGGCTGGGCTGGTTCCCAAAGGCCGGATCACCCACCATTTTCAGAGCCATCAGCGCTTCCAAACGAGGTGTAAAGCCCTGGGAAACCAGGACAGCAGCGATGAGGGCTACACCCCTGCACTGATGGAAAAAAGCAGTTCAAATTGCAGGCGCAGGTGAAATATTTTGTCCCCTCCGGCGTGTGGGGGGGAGCAGCCAGCAGACAGGGGTTGAGCTGGGGGACCCCGCATCGGGAAGCATAGCCTTCCTACTTTGCGACTCAAGAGCCCCAGAAAAGGGGTTGGTTTCTCCAGGCCTGTGCAGAGCAAAAGATGGGTGACTTTTTTTTTTTAATTTATTTATTATTCAACTGAGCCTGCAGATCATCTGTTGCTACGTACCAGGTAATGCTAACTGGGTATCATCCAACAGGGTATCAGCTACAGCCTCTCAGACCACACCTGGAGAAGCCGGCGATTAAAGGCGTGCCCAAGCGCTTGGCATTGCACAAGGTGACATACGTGCACAGATTAAAACGGCGAGGTTAGGACCAGACCCAAAGCTCGGCCAAACCAGCAGCGAGGCCAAAGCCGGGGACCGGCGCGGAGCACCGAGAGCCGGGAGACAGCAAGGTCTTCGCTGCACGCTTGTCAGAAAAAAAGCAGTAGCTATATTTATCCTGACCACATCTCCTAACATGAAATATTCATGGTCCTTTCTTGGTTTTGCAGGAAAGAGAGAGTAATTAGCCACCCCTCAAATCACTGGAGAAAATACATGAAAAATTTCAGGCCAAAGCGAGCATCCTCAGGCACCTTTTTTTCTGTTGTGACTGACAAACATTCCCACCGTATTTACAACGCAAATGGGTTTCACAGGCCTCTGGGCCCAGAAAAGATCTTTTAGTTACTCTGATCCCTTTTTAGGTTGTCCCTGTACCGCCTCGGCGGGTCAGTGGCCCCAGCAGAGAGCTCAGGGGCATCCCTGGAGCACCCTTAAATACCAATGGCCCTGCAAGGGACATTTTTAGCGAGCAGTTGATGGCAACTCTTCTTGAGTTGCCAAGGGGAAAAGAGAGGGAAAAATAACCTTTCCTTTCCGAACTAGGGAGGTAATTCAATGAGGGCTGAGGCACAATAACCTTTACAAGGAAAAAAAGAAGAGGAATGACACGCTTGAAAGTTTCCCTTGGAGCAGCAGTGGTGCGCAGACTTTTCCAGCACCGAGAGCATGCCTGGCAACTCGCCAAGCACCCGGAGGGCTGAAATGAGTTTGCATCTAAATTTACATAGCTCTTAATCAGATAAATGCACGCCATTTTAAAAAAATGGCAGCATGCTCTACATGTATGCAGCGCTTCACAAAACACAAGGGAGCCACCCGAGAGCGAGCGCTTCTTGGAGAGGATGAGAAACGGGATGGCCGGCACAGCTTCCCGAAATCCAGCGCATGGAAGTCGGGTGAAGACCGCGGCGGGACCGGACTCTCTTCTCTCTGCTCACATCAAGATGATAAAACCTGAGCATCGCCGAAAAGCAGTGTCAAGGCTCCCATCAGCAGTAAAGATACATGTCAATGAGGCAGGCATCTCTGCAGAGAACACAGGACCAACAGGAGGGCTGAGCAAAGATCTGCTCCTGCCAAGAACGTGCACGCATTTTTCTGCGACCTGAGCCCAAGATATCCGTGGCTGGAGGAACTGCCGAAGCTGTGACAGGCACCATAAACTAACTCACCCTAGCTTTCTGCTTCTGTTTCCCTGATTTAAAATTAAACTTTAGCTCCAGGGTGGTGGGTTGGTTTTTTTTTTTTCTGTGGTCACTTTGGGAGTTTTTAAACCACTGTTCAAACAGTTCTTAAAGTTTCTCAATCTTCCCTGGAAGGCCAGCTGCCTACACTGAAACATCTTAAAGAACAGTTGGAAAGTTAGTAAAGGAGAAGTGAGCCAAGTCAATGCATTGGCTTTGTTTTGACGTCTCCTGTGAGCAAGGTCACAAGCTGCAGGTTGAATCTTGCTTTGAAATTAGAGTCAAAACTTTGGTGTGAGGTTTTCACTTGTGAGAGGCATTAAAAATCACCTGCTTATCCATTAAAAATACCCCAACTCGGTCCATAAAATGTAACCCATCTCATAAAGATCTCTCTTTTTGATCCAAGTTTATAGCTAACTTTACTTAAAGGGGTACTTTCAGTTTCCCTAGAGAAGTTTTACGCTTGTAAGTGCTGCAGGCTACGGTTTTCAAGAGCAGTTTCGTGTCTGCAGTAATTGGAGCAGACAGCTACTTAGCCAGAAACACTTTTTGGTTGGGGGGATGCATTTGTGTAAGATGCAAAATAGTCGGTTTTTTTTTTTTTTCAGGCTTTGTAATGACTTGCACCGACAACAAAAGGTGCCTCCTGCAGACAAAAGATGCAGTTACAGGAACGTATTATCCACCGGCAGAACAAGCTCATAACACAGTTCCTGATTTTCCCCTGCCTCCAGTTGCAATTCAGCTGTGCCAATACAACTGCACCGAAAATAGAATCACTGAAATCATTCAGGGCAATAATAAAAACCTCTTTTGTTTTGGTGGTGGGTTGTTTTTTTGGTTTTGTTTTTTAAATATAGAATATTTCATAAACAATTAACAAGATTTCTAGGACTAGAGACAGCCTAAAAACCGCTATCTTTATTTTGCGCATAAATCCAGGTGGGTATTCTGGACAAGAGGGGTAATTCCAATAGAGCTTAACCACCACACGCATTTCTGCAGACCTTGTAAGTATTTTCAG